GGTGGAGCTCCCTGTGGAGCCACCAAACAACGTGTGAAGGGTGTGCCGAAATAGGAATGGAGGACGCATGCAGGTACACCCACAGGGACATTCGGTGGAGCTCCCTGTGGGGCCACGAAACGTGTGAGGGGTGTGCCGAAATGGGTGTGGGGGACTCATGCGGGCACACCCACTGCAACCTTCGGTGGAGCTCTCTATGGGGCCATGAAACGTGTGAGTTGTGTGCCGAAATGGGTGTGGGGCATGCGGGCATACCCACTGGAACCTTCGGTGGAGCTCCCTGTGGGGCCACGAAAAATGTGAGGGGTGTGCCGACATGAGTGTAGGGGACGCATGAGGGCACGCCCACTGGGACCTTCGGTGGAGCTCCCTATGGGGCCACGAAGCGTGGGAAGGGTGAGCCGAAATCGATGTGGGGGACGCATGCGGGTACACCCACTGGGACCTTCGGTGGAGCTTCCTATGAGGCCACGAGCCGCGTGGATTTCTGAAACGGGTGATGATGATGATGATGATGATGATGATGATGATGATGATGATGATGATGATGATGATGATGATGATGATGATGATGATGATGATGATGATGATGATGATGATGATGATGATGATGATGATGATGATGATGATGATGATGATGGTGATGAATGATGATTATGATGATGATGATGATGATGATGATGATGATGATGATGAGGGAGGAGGAGGGGGGACGAGGAAGGAGGAGGGAGGAGGAGGAGGGGGGAGGAGGAGGAGGAGGAGGAGGAGGAGGAGAGGAGGAGAGAGGAGAGGAGAGGAGAGGAGAGGAGAGGAGAGGAGAGGAAAGGAGAGGAGAGGAGAGGAGAGGAGAGGAGAACGCGGGGCACCGTCTCTTCAAAGCGAGGGCCCAGCATCACAGGATGGTTGGGACAAACCTCTCAGAGGGCGCGAGGGCTTCTGAGAAATTCCGCCGCCTTCTGAGAAGGCATTCTTCTTCTCACTTCCCCCCCTCGCTCGCCGCCGACCTCAGGCACCTCCCCGCAAACTTCCGCGCCTGCACCTCGCGGTCTTTTTGTTGCCGGTCGGTCTCCCGACGGTGTGTCCGCCGACGTCGCCACCGGCGCGGCCGCTGGCGAGGGCTGAGGGGGAGCGCGGGAAGACGAGCCGGCGGCGCGCCGAAGGAGGAGGAGGAGGAGGAAGAGGAGGAGGAGGAGGAGGAGGAGGAGGAAATGGAGGAGGAGGAAGAGGAGGAGGAGGGGGAGGAAAGGGAGGAGGGGGAGGGGAGGGGGAGGAAGGGGAGGAGGGAGAGGATAGGTAGGGAGGTGGGGAGAAAAAGGAGGGGAGGAGGGAGTTAGGGAGTTGGAGTTGGGAGTTGGGAGGAGGGAGTTGGGAGTTGGGAGTTGGGAGTTGGAATAGGAGGGAGGAGGGAGGAGGGAGGAAGGGAGGAGGGAGGAGGAAGGAGGAGGAGGAGGAGGAGGAGGAGGAGGAGGAGGAGGAGGAGAGGAGGAGGAGGAGAAGGAGGATTTTGTTGAGCTCCACGTTCTCTCCGCCACATTTACCCAGGTCCCCTACGGCGGGGGGAAGGGACCTCACAAAAAAACGAAGAAGAAGAAAAAAAAAAAAAAAAAACGCCACGGCACACACCAGGGCCGAAAAAGGCGGCCTGGAGAGCCGACTGGCCCTATTGAGGGGAGACAGATGAGCCTGCTTTGGCAGCGGCGAGCAGGCGCTGGGCCGACGTGGCCTGACGCCGCTCGCGAGCATCCTCCAACTCCGAGGACGGGGGGGGGGGACGCTCGACCGAAGGGGCGGGGACCTCCTCCTCCTCCTCGGCCAGCTGCTGTTCCTGGACTCCGTCCGAAGAACTGAACAAGCTCATGATGTTCCCTGTGTGGGCCCTCACCTCACGTTTGCTGTACTGTGGGTGGAAGCCTCGATAGCACATCGTGTTCCAGCCCGTGCGAGTGGCTTTCGTCGGGCGGCCAACACATTTTAAAGACAAACCACGAACACTCTGTCCCGAGGAATGGCAATAGCAACGCACACAGATGAACAAAACACCGAGGTCAGAACAATCGAAAGCGACGACCCGATGATGAAGAGCCGCAAGGCGGCCTTCGTCTAGTTTACTGCGACCACTACAGGAACCAGAAGGGGGCTCATTCAAGGCTCGGGTGCCTCGCAAGCAAACTTCGCATCTCCACGCTCCAGCCCGCGGTCTCCAAACATGCGGCACAGGCGCTGGGGCAGCCGAGGTGCCCCTAAGCATCTCAACGCCTGACAAGTCGATGGGGCCCCATAAAGGCAAGAGGCGGGCCGCGAGGCGCAAGGTGCAGCGGGCAGCTTTGATTAACTTGTCCGCGTGGGCATTGGCTTCGGCCGAACTAGCATGCACATCTATGGCATGCTCAATAGTTTCCTTGTCTACGCCATCTCTCTTCGCTGGAGATGCCCTGCTCATCTAAGTCCTTGTGGGCAGCGACCTTCTGCGCAGGAAGGGGGGGATAAGTGGAGTATCGCTGAAGATAAGCGTCGGCATACGCGCGCTGGCCCGAGAGGTGCAACTCTCTTTCTGCTGGCCAGCAAGCTTGACAATCTTGTGGCAGTCAGACCAAGCACACGCGCGCCCAGGGGTGCTGAGCATATGGGCCCACGTGTAGGCCGAGAGCTCAGCGCTCTGAGGGGTCTGGGGATAAGGGGGCCCAGACTGGGGCTCTGAATTCAGCAACACATCTGCCAGCGCTGTCGACCATCGCAACACGCGAGGCAGCTCTGCTTAACTCGCGGATGGGGCGCCTAGCGCACGATCCGTCAATAGAGCGCCCCCCCCCAGAGCTGTCTGTCCAGGGGGCCACCGAGAGGGGGGGCCTGATCGGCAGCATGCCACACAACAACAAGACCATCATCGGCATCCGTCGCGGGCCTCGGGCACGCGTCGGCGGGATGCGCGGAAACCTCCAAGATAAAGGGGGGGGCGAGGCGCGGTCACCTCCGTCAACCTCGAGCGCCGAAGCTACATCTTCAGGCTCGGCCAAGGAAGCGCGCACATCGGTCACGCATGTCGCCTCGCCTGGCACTTCCACGGCATATGGAAAATATTGTCAGGCTGCCCGCAAAACTGGCAATCGGCATCCGTCTGGTAGACCAGCTGGAGCGCACGCTCCTTAATGAGAAAGGCCCCAGTGGCAAAAACACGAATCCTACCTTTCTCAAGGGCACTGCACTTCTTACTCGATAAGGCCTCCTTGTCAATGTCATAACACAGCCGGCGCTTAACCCCTCTCTTAGCAGCCGAGTCCCTCTCCAACATGCGAAGGTAAGCCTCCTTGCACTTTTGTTTGACAAGGGCGGTGGAGAACGGACCAAGGGGGATGTCAAAGCCCCGATCATCTCATGGTCATGAAATCTGACATCCTCCAGCCAACCCTAGAGAGCGACATGCGCAGGGCGGTGAGAGGGCCAGCCACGCTGCGCCAAGAACAGGAGACCACGCTAAAAACAACGTCCAAGCTCGCCTAAACTCGGGGAGACTAATAGCCCAGGGGAAGGCACCAACCTGGGCGAGCCAAATCTCTTACGACCACCACATGATGGGCGAGCAAGCAGTTCTCCAACACGGACCCGCATCGAGAATCGCCGACGTGGTGAGCGATCGAAACTTCGAAAGCGGACGAACAGTGCTGAAAAGCTTACGACGAAGGGGGGTGAGAGGGGGGGGCCAAAGTCCGGCCCCCGTGATATCGCTCCCATAACTCGCACCAGCAAGAGGGCCTGCAGAGAAAACCTTGATGATGGCGCCTCTCTTGAATACCTTTTTATGTCTGCGCAAGGCCTTGGTGCGCCTGCAAGCTGCTGCAAGCCTAGACTTAAGCTTAGCACGCCTGCCACCTACCCTGAGCGCCCGACCAGCAGTGTAGCCCACGCCAACTGGGATGGGTCGAGAGCTCCGCCAACTGGGGCGCCACCTGCCCCCCCGCGGCTCGAGACGAGGCAACAATGCAGGTCTTGTCCAGGGCGAAACTACACCCCAACAAATTTTCCACGAGACCCTTCAGCTGCCGCGCGCAGCTCAACCGAGGCGATGACCTTCGAGGGAGAACCAGCGCTGGAGAGGCCAAGATCGTCAATGTAGGCGTCAAGTTCAAGGATGGGCTGGCGAATGGTCCTGTCGCACCCTCCATCCCGCAAATTCGAATGAACGCGGCGGCGAAGCTACACCCCGCCACCACGCCCCTCAAAACATAAAACAATCCTTCAACGATGCCGCCTAGGCTGAGGAAGCGCCCGCGGCGATAAGCGAAAGGGCCGCGCGAGCAATGGCAGGCGGAAAACCGCGCCGATCACATCTCTCTTGCAGAGCAGCCAAGGAGATGTGCCGGCACAACTTACTCAAACCGAAGAGGACGCTGCACGACGCACCTCCCCTTTTGACTCCAGCTTCAGACCGAACAGCCTGTCTCCACACGACATCGGCCGCCCCTCAACCCTTGCCAGCGGCCCAGTACCTCCTGGGCGGCACTATTCCCGGCGCAGGGCCAGGGGGCGTCGAAAACGCCCCCAGACCCTGCACCAGGGGCAGAAAACCCCAATCGGCCTGTAGCCACCAGCTGGCTTCCAGAGGGAGGGCGAGGAGCACGACTGAAATCTGGGGCGGCAGGCGCCCCGACGCTTCGATGAGAGCGAAAATTATGCTGAGACACTCGGGCGCTGGATCTCCCAGGAGCGCAAAATTGCGACAGTGGGGCCCAGAACCAAGCTTATACAGCTTGGATGCTGATCGGATCTCGTCCACGCCGAGACGGGGAAGGAGCTCCAGGATCTGGCCTGAGGGCTCAGCCCCCGACCCCTGGCCCCACGCAGCGCTAAAACGAGCGCCCTCCGCCCTCAGCAACGAGAGAGGATCGGCCGCGATGCCCCCTTTGGCGCTGAGCGTGGAAGTCGGGGCCCAGGGGGTGGGATCTCTAGTGATCTGGCGGACTCGTCCCGAGTCCGAGGGTATTCCAACGTGCAGCCAGGCGGACCTGTCCTCACGCGACAGCTTGGCGAAAAACTTGTCGGCGGCCTCGAGGTCTTCTTCGATTTCGCACCCAAAACCAACCAAATCATCGATCGACAGATTAGACGCGCCAGCAATGCGAGCAGCACGGGGGAAATTGTGGGACCTGGAGCCCATGCGCTGCACGATGTGCGTCGGCGGCTGGCAAAGCAGGAGGCCAAGCTCATCGGACAACTGGCGGTCGCCTGCGCGTCGAGCAAGGGCCAAGGCATGCCACTCAGCCGCCGGCCAACGAATTGATCGGTGCTCAGGGCACTTGCTGCGACCGTCAGCAGCGAGGAGCGAGCGCCATGCCATCTGAGGCCCCGACCCTCGGCAGCCCTGCATGGGCAGCTCGGCGCCCAAAAGCGGCACAAGGTCGGACTCGGCGCGGTCCGCGCAAGCCTGATATAACGGCCCCAAGAGCTCGCGGGCCCCCCAGAAATCTCGGCGTCCACCTTGTCCAGGGCATCCTTAGCTAAATCGAGCTCACAGGCCCGCGAGGGCCCACGAGGGCGGGGGCCGTGAAACGCCGCCACAGGAAGCGGGGGAGGCCTGCGAAACGAAAGCGCCTGCGAAACAGCAGGTTGCGGATGAAAGGTCAAGTTGACGGGGCGGTGGGGGGGGCCAAAGACGTAGAGAAATCGACCGCGCACTCTCTCACTCCTTTGGCCAGCCCCCGAGCAAATAACATAAGTCAACAAAAGAAGCCTTCCCCGACGGGAAGAGCGTGCACGACGCAAGGGCCACGAGAACTCCCCCCAGTTCTTCGACGAAGTCCGAGTCGTCGAGGAGCGGGGGCTCAAAATTACGGCCCGCGCCCGTAACAAAAGGCAACTCACAACTGGAGGGGGAAAAGGCAGAGCCGAGATAAAATGCCAAGGTTGCGATCGGACAACTCTTCAGCGCGGTGGAGATAGGACGACGCGACGACAGTAGGAGAGGCGCCGGAAAGATGGATCCCGCAAGACATCTACACGGAACTATCTCTCCACCATGCATCGCCTGAAGACCAGCCCAATCCCTCACAAAGATCGCAACTCCAGCCGAGGTGCCCGCCTCAGCCCTCTCCGCATCAGACCAGAGGGACTTCCAGCCCCTTTTGATACACCGCGAATTGGCAGCCTGCACATCTTCCCCTCTCAAGCGGCGCCCCTGAAAAAAAGAACGACATGGGCGCGTGAGAAGCCCGCGAGAAGGTCGCACATCATGCCCCAGGAATTGCAGTTGATGGCCTTGACGCAAAGCTCAACACTGCTAGGGCCAGGTCTCACTCCTCCATCCTTGTCAAAAGCCAGCTTGGGAACGGAATCAGTCTGCGCAGGCTGCGGTTGGGCGTCGAAGCCGGCGCCCGCGCCCTGAGGCATTGGAGACAATCCGGCAAAGGGCGGGGCCAGGCAGGTTGGCGAACCAGAGGACATGGGCACGCCATCCGCACCTCCGATCCAAGCGCATCCTGCCCAGAGACATGCAACCTTCGCCCGCGGAGCAGGGATTCAAACCTATGTTCCACGTCTGCCAAAGGAAGCTGAACAACAGTGGTAGAAGGGGCGCTCTTGCCTTCGCCTGACCCAAGCTGCGCAACTGGACGGGGCGTGGAAGGCCGAGAGAAATCACAGGCAGCTCTGGAAAAAAGTCTTGCCCGGCCAGGGGCCCCGCTGCAACGGCGAGGACGGCGGCGCAAGCGCGTCGGCAAGAGCCAGCAGCGAAGGCCATCGCGACCGAACCGATCTACGCTTCGTCTGGACTGCAGGACTTCGTAAAAAAGAATGGGAGGCCCCCCCTCCGCCAGAGATCAACGCGAGCTGAATGGAGACAGTCTGAGACTACAACGTCGGCAGGGCGCGGCACTGGCGGCAGAAAAGAATGGGAGAGGCTGGCGGAGTGCAGCAGGGATCCCCCCTGAAGGGTGACAGGCGGGCAGCTCAGAAGACGAACTTCAGGGCTCCATGCGCTCTGCTCCTCCAGGGAGGCGGCCTGAGACGGCGCGACCAGGGCGACCCTGTCGGCGCGCGTGCGCAGGTCCTCTCCGGCACCTGCTGCGTCAGCGTCGCCGCCCTTTGCCGTGGGGCCTCTGCTGCAAGCCGCGGCAGCGGCAGGGCCGCTGGCGGCCGCGTGGGCGGCTGCAGCCACGCCAGCTGGAGCCGCGGAACCGTCACCTCCCGATGCTGCTGCCGTCTCCGTGCCAAGGCCGACCGCGGGAGCTGGTGGAACGGCGCCGCCGTCGTTGCACTTCCGCTTCTTCTGCTCTTCCGTGAGCCGTTCGTTGCAAGTGGGCCTGATGCTCCACCTTGATGGCTTCGACCTTGGCCCTGGGGCCCTTGAACAAACTGGCTGCCATGGACGAGATGGCCTTGCGAAGATGGGCGGCCCTGGACTCGAGTTCCCTCGGCCCCGTCCCGCTGAGCTCGAACTCCAGCTCGCCGATGTGGAAGAGGGACTCTGCCAACAGGTCCAGCCATCAGTCCACCTTCGAGTCGTGGAGCATGTCGTCGTTGGCGAGCTTGGCCCGCGCGCCAGACGAGTCCGAGCACTCGGAGTGCAGGTGGTGGAAGGGGGGTACTGTGCTCCTTCTCGGCAGTTGCAAGCTCCTCGCGCAGAGACAGTACATGAGCCTGCTGCGCCGCCAGCTGCTCCTCCATGGACCCGAACTTGAGCACGGCTGTCTCCAGTCGCTTCTCGACAGCACGAGCCTGGCCATGCGCACGAGAAAGCTGGATTTGCAAGGGCTCCTGGTGCTGCGGACGTGGCGCCATGGCTTGGGCAGCCAGGCGAGCACGCTTGGCTCCATCCGCGTCACCAAGCTTGCCGCACAGCACGGCCAGCTGCTGGTACTCTTCCATGGGCTCGGCCTGATGTGCTTGACCAGCTGGGGTGCCCTTGGAGCCAGAGTAGCCGCAGACCTTGGCGCCCTTGTCCCCAGCGGGCTGCTCCCCCTTGCCGTAGAGGAAGCATTGCCAAATGCTGTTCGGCGGCAGCCTCGTAGACCCGCAATGCTTGCAGCACGTGAAGTAGCTGGCACTGCGCTTGCAACCACACATCTCGCAAGTCCACCTTCCTCTGCCCTGCAGAGGAGCAGGGTGCTGAAGACCAGGCGCAAGGGAGGCCATTGAACGAGGCTGGCCAGATCCTGCGCCCACGGAGAAGAAGCTGACCCTTTGCCTCCGACTCCGTGGCCTGCCGAACCCTTGCCGCCGCAGTTCGACATGGCGCAACTGAAGCCGTGTCGACTGAATGTACGAGAAGTGCCCGAACTGGTGTGAGCCAGCTGGGCGAAGATGGAAGAGCCAATTTGGCCCGCAACAGCACGCGGCCGTTTCGAAGGGGCATGCTGCTGCAAGCACGACACGAGCTTCACTCAAATCTGCTCGCGCCGAAACGGCTGGAGGAGGAGGAGGAGGAGGGAGTAGGGGGGAGGAGGAGGAGGAGGGGAGGAAGGGGGGGAGGAGGGGAGGAGGGGAGTGAGGGGAGGAGGAGGAGGAGGAGGGGGGGGAGGAGGGGAAGGAGGAAGGAGGAGGGGAGGAGGAGGAGGAATAAGAGGGGGGGGTAGGAGGGCGGAGGGCGGGGAGGGAGGGGGAGGAGGAGGAGGGAGGGAGGGAGGAGAGGTAGGGCGAATAGGGGGGTAGGGGAGGATGAGGAGGAGGAAGAGGGAGGAGGAGCAGGGAGGGAGGGAGTGGAGGGAGGGGGAGGGAGGGAGGGAGGTGGAGGTAAAGGAGGGATGAAGGGAAGGGAGAAGTAGGAAAGGGAGGAGGAGGAGGAGGAGGAGGAGGAGGAGGAGGAGGACGAGGGGGGAGGGAAGAGGGGGCAGGCCTTCTGAGATAGGCGTCGGGGCCTCTCAGAAGCCCTCACTTCTGAGAAGCCTTCGCGGCTTCGCGCCTCTCACAAGCCCTCATGGGACGCATAAAGACATGCTAGCACTACGTGCCTCTTTTTAGAGGGCTGAAAATCCACCCCGAGAATAACCACCCCGACACGCGAAGCCGTTTAGTAAACGCACCCAAAGAAGGAATCAAACAGGGCAGGGCTGTTTAAGAAACGCCCAGGGCCGTTTAGTAAACGCCAATTGTCTGGTCCGGGTGGTTTTTCCTCCCAAGACTGTTGGAGACGCACCTCCGACCCGAGCACATAGTATAACAACTCGTCGTAGATCGTTTCCCGAGCGGTATGGCCAGACAGCGCCGGCCACTCAGCTTGTACGGTAAGACTTCCGAGCGCGCGCGCGCGTCGCCCTTGCGCGGCCGACGCACAGACAGTATTAGTTGGTTGGGCGGTACCGACCTCACGCCTCTGCGGCCTCGGAGAGGGCCTAGAAAACATCAAAGACTAGAAGAACAACAAAACGGCATAAACATAAACTGTTGGCGCTCTGCGCGGATTACTTGGATCCGCGCGGAGCGCCAACAGTTTATGTTTATGTCGTTTTGTCCTCTTCAGAAGAAGGCCGCCCCCACACTCCCTGGCACAGTGTAGAGGGGCGCGTCCCGTCGGCGCGTGGCCTCGGAGGAGGCGCGGCTTCTCCCGCCTCCTCCTCGTCTTTTCCTCCCTCCCACTCCTCCTCCCCGCCCCTCCTCCTCTCTGGTCGACCCAAAAGGGGGTCCAGCTGAAAGGGGGTGGTGCAATAGTTTT